GCAATTACAGACTGGTAAGTCTAACTTCAGTACCGTGCAAACAATAGTAAAGAATAAAATTGTCAGGCACGTAGAAGAACATAATTTGTTGGACAAAAGTCAACATGGTTTCTGTAAAAGGGAAATCATGTCTTAATAATCTATTAGGGTATGTCTACACTAGCCCCCTAGTTCGAACTAGGGAGGCTAATGTAGGCATTCGAAGTTACAAATGAAGCCCGGGATTTAAATATCCTGGGCTTCATTTGCATTTTCCTGGGTGCCGCCATTTTTAAAAGTCCCTTATTCCGAACTCCGTGCCCGCGTTCGGAATGGGGTATACCGGTAGTTTGAATTAGAGATCCTAATTCGAACTGTCATCCGTGCCGCATGTAGTCGCGGGCACGGAGTTCGGACTAAGGGACTTTTAAAAATGGTAGCACCCGGGAAGATGCAAATGAAGCCCAGGATATTTAAATCCCGGGCTTCATTTGCAACTTCGAATGCCTACATTAGCCTCCCTAGTTCGAACTAGGGGGCTAGTGTAGACATACCCTTTGAGTTCTTTGAAGGGGTTAACAAACATGTGGACAAGGGGGATCCAGTAGATATAGTATACTTAGATTTTCAGAAAGCCTTTGACAAGGTCCCTCACCAAAGGCTCTTGCGTAAACTACATTGTCATGGGATAAGAGGAAAGGTCCTTTCATGGACTGAGAATGGGTTAAAAGACAGGAAACAAAGGTTAGGAATAAATGGTATATTTTCAGATTGGAGAGGGGTAACTAGTGGTTTCCCCCAAGGGTCAGTCCTGGGACCAATCCTGTTCAACTTATTCATAAATGATCTGGAGAAAGGGGTAAGCCGTGAGGTGGTAAAGTTTGCGGATGATACTAAACTGTTTAAGATCGTCAGGACAGAAGCAGACTGTGAAGAACTTCAAAAAGATCTCACCAGACTGAGAAATTGGGCAACAAAATGGCAAATAAAGTTTAATGTTGATAAGTGTAAAGTAATGCACTTTGGAAAAAATAACCCCAACTATATGTACAGTTTGATGGGGGCTAATTTGGCTACAACAAATCAGGAAAGAGATCTTGGAGCTATCGTGGATAGTTCTCTGAAAACTTCCACACAGTGTGCAGCAGCGGTCAAAAAGGCAAATAGAATGTTAGGAATTATTAAGAAAGGGATAGAAAATAAGACACAGAATATCTTACTGCCCCTGTATAAAACTATGGTACGCTCACATCTTGAATACTGTGTACAGATGTGGTCTCCTCACCTCAAAATAGAAAAGGTTCAGAAAAGAGCAACTAAAATGATTAGGGGTTTGGAACGGGTCCCATATGAGGAAAGGCTAAAGAGACTGGGACTTTTCAGTTTAGAAAAGACAAGACTGAGGGGGGGGATATGATAGAGGTATATAAAATCATGAGTGGTGTGGAGAGGGTGAATAAAGAAAAGTTATTTATTAGTTCCCATAATAGAAGAACTAGAGGACACCAAATGAAATTAATAGGTAGCAGGTGTAAAACTGACCAGAAGCTGCTGAATCAGGACGCCTGGGGCAGAGCAGCTGGGGTGCTGCCGGGTTGATCCAGTAGCACCAAGGAGCAGTGCTGCGGGACCAACCGGCAGCGCCCCACCTGCTCTACCATAGGCCCCGGGCTTTGCTCCACCTCTCCGTGGTCTGCTGGGGGGGCACTAGCTGCGTCCCCCCCCCCCCC